GTATTTTCGAGATAGGGTTCCTGAACTATTTGCCTGGGGCCGGTTTTGAACCGCAATCCTCCTGATCTCTGCCTCCTGAGTAGCTAGGATTGCAGGTGTGAGCCACCAGCAACCTGCACCACATCTATCTTAGAGTAAAGAATTTCATAAATGTTAATTACTAGTAGTAATTATTTATTGAGATGGGGTCTTACTATGTTACCCAGGCTGACCTTGAACTCCTGGGTTCAAGTAATCCTCCTGCCTGAGCATCTCCAGGTGTGCACCACAATGCCTGGCTTAGTACTTCCAATGACTACTCTGCAGAGTCAGGAATGGGGGATGGGTGAGAAGTGTTGGGGAGATGTCCACAGAGGCCTTCCAGAGGGAGACAAGGGTGAAAGGGGCTGAGCGGAGGGCTCCAGGATCCCCACGTCTGGCCATTTTATTTTGTTTTTCACTATGTAACCCAGGCTGGCCTCGAACTCGCGATCCTCCCGCTCTGCCTCCCTAGTCATCTTTTCTAAAGAAGCTAGCAAACGTTCCCCTGCGGCTGCACTTGTGGCTTTTTCCGCATTCCTATTGGACAGCGCTGCACAAGGCCACGCCCAGGGCCTGGGAGGGGGCGGGGCTTAAGATCTGCCAGGTCCTCAGGGAAGCCCTCCCCACTTCCAATTTGAGCAGTTTGCCAGGGTGCTTGAAATCGCTGCTATGGAGGCTTATCTGGGGGGTCCCAGAAGACTTGGGGACTTTAAGAGGTTTTGCCCTTGCTGATCAAAAGTCCCAGTGAGGGAAATGAATGCTTTTTTTTTTTTTTTGACACTGGGGTTTGAACTCAGGATTCACACCTTGAGCCACTCCACCAGCCTTTTTCTGTGAAGGGTTTTTTGAGATAGGGTCTCGAGAACTATTTGCCCAGGCTGCCTTCGAACTGCAATCTCCATCATCTCTGTCTCCTGAGTAGCTGGGATTATAGATGGGAGCCACTGGTGCCCTGCAAAATGAATGCGTTTGAATGACCTGGACAAGCCATGGAGTGCCAGGGCTGGGAGGACAGGGCCAGCAGGTGGTGAATGGAGGTGCCCCAACACTGGGAAATGGCACTCCCCTGGGGTTGGAGGTTTGGGTCACAGACACAGGGGGCTTCCAGCATGCCGATCACCTACCCTCTGCCCCTTGGGTGGACCCCATGGTAAACTAAGCACTGTGTTCTCCCAAGGCATTCACCTTTTTTTTTTTTTCTTTTTCTGGATGCTGGGGACAGAACCCAAGGTCTCGTGCACGCTAGGCAAGCACTCTACTACTGACCTACCCCCACAAGCCCTTCCAGTCTCATTTAAAAAAAAAGAATAAATAGTAATTATCCGAGAAAATCAAGTCTTGAGAAGACAAGCAAAGCCACAGAGATGGTTAAAAGGAACCACAGGTGTCCGATAAGGACCAGGTATGACCCTGTGGAAAGAACATCTTCGCTACGGATCAGCCCTGCCTCCGGGTCCTGCAGGGTGTCTGGCTTTCTGCCCTGACCTTTGGTCCCTCGTGATAACTCAAGGCGACACCACCTCAGGCTCCCTCTGGGACCGTCCTGAGGTTGACAGGATTGCCCCATTCCTTGTTTGATTCTTGCCCCCAGGGAACAAGGAGGCAGGAGAGGTGGTGCACAATTGTGGAAAACGCCAGAGTAGACAGAGGCCACTGAGTCCTGTGGGAGCTTCCCCTGGTGGCCAGCTGTTGTGATGGGGGTCCCCGGGGAGATAAGGAAGGGGGATTCTTAGTTGTGCACTAGCTCCTACAAACGGCCAGGGTCAGGCTGGAGGCGTGGCTCAAGTGGTAGAGCACCTGCCCAGCAAATACAAGGTCCTGAGTTCAAACCTCAGTACCAAAAAATGGCCAGCATCCATCCGATACCCCGACCTGTGAAATGGGCTAGCCACGCCCACCTGCTGGAAGGACAGTCAGAAAGCTCAGTCAACAAGGGCCCAGAGGGGCTCTGTAATGGGGTGGCTTGTGGTTGTCAGCAGTGAAAGGAGACTCAGTTTCCACATCAGCATAGTGGGGGGAGGATCTTACCTGGGGGGAGGATGAAGCAGGGGCCCACAGGAGTCCAGGGCCACTGAAGGACAGAGGTGTGACTGGAGTTGGGGGATTTGGGGTTCTTTGGGGCTAGGAGCCTGGGGGGAAAGTTCCTGAGTGTGTGGAGTGCCCACTGGCAAGGAGTTTTCTTCTCAAACTCCCCTCCCAATGGAGGAAGCCCTTGCTGCCCTGGTCAGGAGAAGGAATTGAATTTGGCCAAAATGTGAATGTTCGTAGCCAGGTGACAGTGGCTCGTGCCTGTAATCCCAGCTACTCAGGAGGCAGAGGCCAGGAGGATCAAGGTTCAAAGCCAGCCCCAGGCAAACAGTTCCCAAGACTCTGTGTCAGAAAATGCTGGTGGAGTGGCTCAAGGCGTAGTACTGAGTTCAAGTCCCAGGGCTGCAAAAAAAATAAAAAGTGTGAACTCAACCTTGAATTCCCACCTTTTTAGAAAGAATAGTTTGAGCAAAGACTATTTAGTCACTAGATGGAACCAATTAATAAAAGAACTGATAACTATCCTTTATCAAAATAAGCACCTATTATGTGTCACTGGACATAACCCTAAACATTTTTCTTTTCTTTTTAAATTAAAAGAATTATTCTTCTTGCAGCACCAGGGAGTTGAACGTAGGGGCTCCTGCTTGCTAGACAAGCGTGTGTGTGTGTGTGTGTGTGTGTGTGTGTGTGTGTGTTTGTGAGTATGTTTAACTTTGGCACAGGTTGGCTTTGACCTTGAGATCCTCTTGTCTCTGCCTCCTAGGTAGCTGGGATTACAGGTGTGCCCCACCATGTTTGGTTAAAATTTTTCCTTTATTATATCATTTAATCTGCACAGCAGTCTTATGAAGAAAGATCTATTTTAGCTCCAGTTTACAGGAATGGTGAGGAAGATGAGGCCCCAGAGGTTGATTGACCTGGCCTGTTATCATACCCAGATCACATATGAGTGAGGGGCCCCTAGACATGCCAGGCTGTGGCTTCTGTTATACCAACTGCTCCCTGGTCCCCGCCCGGGTGCAGCTGGAGTGTGATTGGCGGGCTGTTCTGGGAAGCCATCCTGAGGTGGAGGGAGAGGGGCATCCTCTCTGCCCCCTATTTCCATCCCTGCTGCTCTGGATTCTACCTGCGGAGGGCAGTACTGAGCAGTCACAGCTGCTCCTCCAGGCCCTGGGGTCCAGGATTTGGGATGGGGGAAGCACCCTGTCCAGAAGCCAACAGCCCAGCAGCCAGTCCTTCCTGGGACCAGCTTCCTCCGGCTGGGCCCACTGAGGCTGTGCCTTGGTCCTAACGTCTAATGGGCCGGTGTATGTGTAGTAGGGACGCCATAGTTCAGTGGGCAGAAGTGGGCCAGTGCCAGCAGTGTCATCACATCCCATGTGTCTCCAGGCAGGTGACTTTATAGCAAAATAAAGCAAGAGCAATCGTATCTACCCAGCATGCTTAGCGTGAGACATATAAATTACTCTTTTTTGGCAGTACTGAGGATTGAACTCAGGGTTTCCCAAGTGCTGTACCACTTAAACCATGTCCCCAGCCCTTTTGCTTTTAGTCTGTTTTTCAGATAGTTTCTCACGCTTTTGCTGGGGTCAGCCTTGGCCCTCTAACTTCCTAACTCTGCCTTCTAGGTAGCCGGGATTACAGGTGTGTACTACCATGCCCAGCCCAAGACATAGACATCTTAAATACAACATGGCCAGGAGCTAGAAGACGTTTAACAGTGGGGTTACACTGTGATTGACTGTGAGGCTTCTGGAAGGCACGAGTGGAGACTCAGAGATAGAGGGGAACTGACGCCCAAATTCACTCCAGCTGAGCCGGGATTTGAACTCACATGGTCAGCTCAGCCTCCAGGCCCTTGGTGTGTGGCCTTTTCCAAATCCCCGTTGTCTGCCCAACATCCTCTGTGAATACAAGGGCCACTCTGTGGGCACCACCTTGGGCTGTGGGGGAGGAGATACCCGCGTGTTGGGCTTAGTGTGTGTGTGAAGGGTCAGCCATGGGTAAGTCTCATGGCTCCTGACCTGTGCCCCAGGAGGCCTTGTGCATGTGGTGTGTGTGTGGTGGGGGGGCGCCGAGGCTCTGCGAGGTCCTAAGAGATTCTCCTGCTACCTTTGGCTCTCTCTATCTAGGCCAGAAGCTCCCTGGAGTGGGTGGGGTGGGGGGACCTGCCTGATGGGATGCATATCCCTCTGACCAGTGCCAATCCCATGGAAAGCCTACTAGCTCGGCTCTCCCGATCACTCTGCCCGGCATGGTTTGGGGACATTACAAAAGGTGTCCCCTGATTCCTTTGGATCCCTAGGTTTGCAGAGGGGAGGGTAAATCCTAGGTCAGGGTTGGATGCAGACTAGAAGACGGGACCTGGAGTCTACTTGGATCTGCTGCGACCTTGGGCACCCTAGGGGACAAAGCCGGGGGGGGGGTCGGAATGTCGCAACATGGGCAGCGAGTGACCAGCAGTCACTGGGCAAGGGTGGAGAGGGGGTGCGGGCCACACGGGATGCACAGGACCCAGGGAGAGAGGGGGAGGCGGGGGAGGGATCACCTGCTGGCTGGGTGACCTTGACCTTGAATCTGGAGGTTGGGGCGGAGGGCGCGATCCTAATCCAGCTATGGGATGCCCCCCCTCCCGCGCCTTCCCCCCGCAGTGCCCAGGCCGGGGCGGGGACGCGCGGGCTAATCCCGTATGTAAATGGCAGCCAATGGAGGGCGGTGTTGCGCGGGGCTGGGATTAAGGCCGGGGCGAATGGCTGGCAATCTTACTGGGATTACAGAACAAAGAGCCTTCCCGGCTCCCGCTCGCTCGCTCGCTCGCGCCCCGCCGCCCCGCCCTCCGCCGCCGCAGCCCCGCGCTGGGGGCGGGGGGCCCCGTGCGCCCCCCCACCCCTCCCCCGCCCCCGCCCCCTCCCCTCCCCGCGCCGCCGCCCGCGCCGCGCCGCCCGATCGCCGGGATTAATTAGGGCGGCAGCGCGAGCGGCAGGAGGCTGAGTCCTGGCCGCGGGCCGGGGGCCGGGGCGCCGCCGGCACAGGAGCGCTTGGGGATCCTCCAAGGTAGGAGAAAGTTTTTTTTTTTTCTTTTTTTTTTTTAAACTGAGGGGGGAGGGAGGGAGTGGTGAGATGAAGAGGGGGGTCCCCTGTACCCCCTGTTCCTCGTGCGTGCCCCCTTCTCTCCTCTCCCCTCCCCCTCCAGGTGTTCCTGAATCTGGGTCTGGGTTTTTGGGTGCACGGGTGTATGTGTGTTGGGGGGGAGGGGAGGGGAGGCACGTGATCCAGATTATAATTCGGGCCGGGTGGGGGGATAGGGGGAGGGGAGGGAAGAGAGGAGAGGAGAGGGACAGTCGCCCCCTCCCCCTCCCCCACCCACCATCACCACCACCTGCCCTCGGAGAGGGGGGGGGAGAGTGAGTGGGAGTGGGGAGCTGTCACCCCCTCCTCCTCTCCCCCCACCCACATACACTCTAAGGTCCTTCCGGGGTGGGGGGGGCACCCTGCAGGCTTGCTGCAGTTTGCGAATGAGGTCAGTTGGTGCTGGAGCCCCAGGGTGGGAGCCCTGAGAGGGGGGGTTGGGAAGGCCGCGGCCTGCCCCCCCTTTGATCTCTAACTCCCTCCCCCCCATTCACATAAACTGTGAGGACCCCTAGGCCGCACCCCCCCGACTTCCAAACTGGGTCCTGTACTCTTCCCTTGAGCAGTAGATCTTTTTTGGGGGGGTTCCTTTGGGAGAGGGAGGGTTTGGCCTGAGTGGCGGAAGCTGAGCCCTTGGATGGGGGAAGGAGGGAGAAGGAGACTCAGGGTGGCAATGGGGGAGGGGCTCCAAGGGTCACCCCCACCCCTGGAGCAAGTTGGGGAGCCGGGGCTGTGGGTGGTCTGTGAGTTGTTGCAGAAGAGCGGGGAGGAGGGGAAGGAGGAGGGGCAGCAGGGTGCTTGCTGTGTCCCCACCCCCAGCCCCCCATCCTGAGTCTCTGGGAATGATGCATTGGATACAGTCCTGCCGCCAGGGAAAGAGGGGACCCAGTACCCTGGCTGGGCCCAGGGCCTCTGGGGACCACACAGCTGAGAGTTTTGCCCTCCTGGCACTGCTAGAGGGGTCTCAGACGGTGGCATCTGGCCCAGTGACCTGGCCTCCCAGGACCAGACTGTTTGGTGGAGGCCCTGGTGTGTCCCTCCCAGCGAAGTGACCCAGCTTGGGATGAAGGGGTCTTCCTGGCAGGCACGTGGGCAGCGCTGGCTGGCTGTGGAGTACGTATTCCCGGGATGAGTGGGGCGTTTGTAGGGGGCTTTTCTTACTGCTCAGAGCGGAGGGGAAGGGTGGCCTGAGCTACCTGGGGGCCCTCTGGCTATGGTCAGTGTCTGTTGCTTTGCCCCGTGGCCAGGGCTGCTCCCCTAGTCAGTGTGATGTGACCTGGGGCAGCAGGAACCTGGGAGATGCTTGGAGCCATTCGTGTATTTCAGCGGCGTCATCCCAGAGGGGAAGGGCAGTGTGGCATTGATTATTTATGTGAGGGAGTGATGGGAGGCTGGTGGCTGCTGGCAGGGCGGGGCGGGGCACCAGGGCAGCAAGATGGGGACCGGCAGGTGGCCATTACGCATCACTTCTTTGGGGCCCAGGAGGGTATGAATTGACTTCGGCCTCTTTTGACCAGAGACCTGGGGACCCCAAGAAACAGGCCTGGTTTGGCTTGGAGGTGATGGGTGTGGGAGCCCCCAGACTTTAACCTGTCCCTCATTCTGTAGCCTGCTCTGAGGATGACCTAGAAACTGACAGTTCCAACTCCGAGGGTCCCAGAGGAAGCAAGGAAAGGCTGGAGTCCCCAGTACTCCTGGGCTACTCGTTTGAAATGTGGGGTAACTCAGAGCCAAAGGTGGCAAAAATGGGGCTTGCACACAGTATTCTTGGGAACTTGCTTAACCTACTTAAAAGCCCTGTCCTGTAGCTGCTGGGTAAAGTACCATTTATTTACAATTGTGCTGAGGACAAATAATTTTGATCTTTATTTAAAGGCAGGCTTCCCGGAGCCCCGATAGGCTCTGACACGCACAGTCTAGTGAGTGGCCGGTACTTGGAATTAAGTCACACGTAATAACAGGGGTCTCGGTGGCAGCTGTTTGCTCGTTGTGTGTGGGGATTGGGCGTGCACAGTTCGGTAAACAGCTCCATTGTCGGAGACCCCAGCTGAACATTTCAGGGAGACATGATAACATGGCTTGTGGTATTCATGTTCTAAACCTGACCTTGGAACTCCCAGCCCAGTCTTAACCTCCTACATCCTTGATTCACTGATGGGATCCTGCCTGGCTGGGGTTGGGGTAAGGTTGTTCCCCTCTTCAAGGTTTGGCTTGGCTGTGGAGTTCCCTAGGTGAGGCCTTCAGGTGTCACCTCTGTGTGCCCATGACACCCTGGCCTTCCCCTGTCCCAATATTGATCTCAGAAGCTCACGTCTGTCTTACCTCATTGCTTTCTGGGGGTAGGTGGGTTCGGGACCTGGTACTCACACCTGTTGAATGAATAAGTGATCGAGCAAAATTCTGCTCCTGGTAGGAGGCCCAGTGTCTTTCCTTAAACTTCCTCCTCCCCGCCCCTCCCCCATTCTTGGCACCCTCCCCCATATCACTCCAGCCTGGGTCTCCCCCAAACCTAAGCATGCTCCCCGAATTACATCTATTCTGCTTCTGTCTGGACTCGCTGCTGTCTGTGCGCCTGTCTGTCTTAGATGCTTGGTAGCCAGGGACACAGCCAGGTACGTTGGGACAAGCCAGGGACACCATTCTGCAGAGTTGATTCTCAGACAGCAGCAGGACCTGGCTGAGGGCTTGGGTTCCACACTGAGTTCAGGTGTGACAGAGCCTGTGGGACAGGGACCCTTAGGGAGACCAGGAATTCCCGACAGGATCTTGGGAGGTGGGAAGGACAGGTTTTTGCAGGGGAGAGAGAGGGGGATTAACACACATGACCAGGAGATAGTGCGTTGTGACCAGTGGTTGGTGGCAGGACGTGCTGGAGGCTTGGGGTACAGGTATTGGGGTTCTGGGCAGGAGAAGAGGGCCAGCCAGCCTCCCAGAATCCTTTGAGTCCACTCTCAGGGAGCAGAGTGGCCTTTGGCCAGGATCTGTGTGTCCTGGAAGGATCCCACAACTTTCTTGGTCTCTTTTGGAGGTTCCCCAGTCTGATACCTCTCCCTCTCCCTCCGTCTTTTGTTTTTCTTTGTGATACTGGGGTTTGAACTCAGGGCCTACACCTTGAGCCACTCCACCAGCCCTTTTTGTGATGGGGTTTTTTCCGAGATAGGGTCAGGCTGGCTTCCAACCTCCATCCTCCTGATCTCTGCCTCCTGAGTAGCTGGGATTATAGACGTGAGCACCGGCACCCAGCTCCACCTCCGTCTTGCACAACTTCCTGTCCTGGCTCCTGTCCCTGACGTCTGGGCCACCAGGACTGGCAGCACATGAGCGCGGAGGGTGGCAGGATGGGGTAGGGCTGGGAAGCCGGGGTTCCTCTCTTGGCTCTGCCCCAGTCTTACCCTAAGAGGAGCCAGCCCCTCACCGGACACCCTGGGTCCTTGTTTCGGTAATGCCTGGCTGCACCATTTGTGATCTTGGTGTTTACCTGGTGACAGCCAAAGACCGCGAGGGCCTCGGGATGCTGGCTCAGTTGAGACAAGTTATTTTCCTCCAGGAACCAGGGCCGGACGGACTTCAACCGTGAAAGCTTGGGGTGACTCCTGGGGTGTCTCAGGGCAGCGAGACTCTGTTGCCTTTGTCTTGACCCTGAGCTGGGTCTGGCTGACCTGGATGAGCTATTTTCAGGCCCACCTGTCCTTTTCCTTCAGGACCACCTGTCATCACGTTAAGGACCTCCAGTTAAATTTGGACTTCAGATAGACAACAAACCACACGTGCAAACCTGGGCGGGGGCTTCGGTTTTATCTGGCAACCCTACAGCTGCTGGCAGAAGAGGGGCCCGCAGTGTGGCTGGGCCTGGAGTTGGGGTCAGGCTTACCCCAGGGCTCTGGAGACAGTGTACAGTGAGCTTGTCTGATTCCTCGTCCTCCTAATTTCCTTGGCCTGTTTTCTCTTACCTGTGGCCCAAGGGTCCAGATCTGTCAGGCATGGGTGACGTGGACAGTGTTCTTTGGGTGAGATCTCAGGAGCTCTCAGGATCCCCAGCCTGGGAATCTCTTGTTTTGGGATCTTTTGTGTCAGTGTGGTCCGTACGGTGTATTGACAGATGCTGGGAAGAACCAGGAGTGGTGGTGTACTCCTGTAATTCCAGCATTTGGGAGGCTGAGGCAGGAGGATCTGGAGTTCAAGGCCAATGTGGGCTACATAGTGAGCCCCTGTCTGAAAAAGCCAAAAAAAAAAATCCCAAAGCAGAAAAGAGAAGGGAACTTTCCGGAAAACACCCAATTAGACAACAAATTAGGATTTTTCGCTGAGATTTGCAAGGCTGGGTCAGAGTGTTGGGAGAGTTTCTTTGATGCCTGTCACCCCCATATCAAGGGGTGATGTGGCCATGGGCTTGGGGTACCCCCTTGGGTGGATGCGAGGTGACTGTAGTGTACTTGTGTCTACTGCTAAAACTGTGTAAAAGGTAAAAATGTCCTCAGCACGTGGTTCTAGGGGTCTTAGGTGGAAGGGCTGAATCATTTTATTTTATTTTATTATTTTTTTAAGACAACTTTCACTTGTCTCAAGGCCCGGGCTAGCCTTGAACTTGGGAATCTTCCTCAGCATCCCAAGTGCTGGGATTACAGGCATGCACTACTCCACCTAAGGGTGACCCTCATGACTGTACCTGGTCCTCATCACTTCCTGAAAGTCCCACCTGCTCCTCCCTCTTTTTGTTTTTTTCGGTGGCAGTGGGGTTTGAACTCAGGGCAGGTGCTCCACTGCTTGAGCCTCTGTGCCAGCCCTGGTCCTGGGGGTTAAGTTTAACATGAGTTTGGTTGTGGTGTTCAGACTGACTCAGTGGTTACTGGGACCTGCCTCCACCTGAGCAGCCGAGGCCAGGAAGGCAGGGCCAGGGCCTCCTGGTCCACACCGCCTGTCCCCTG